TGCTTGGGCTGCAGCAGTGCCTGAGACCTCTGGGCGGGCATCAGAAACAGCTGCGTGCAGCGAGAGCAGACGGCACAGCAGTCAGACAGCATGGAGCGCCGTGGACACAGCACTGCGCAGCACTGCTGCTCTGTGTACAAGGACTACGGGCACTGCCTCAGAGCCTGCTGAACCAGATCGGTCATTCACCAAAGGAAGAAAAGTCTGAAAACTTACTTGACATTTTGAAAGGCAAACTTTCAGCCACCTGACATTATATTATTTGTGTTTCTGAAAGACAAAAGAACACCACCCCATTAAGCATTACGCCAGCCTGCGATGCTTCCACCACCCGTCCATTCATTACAATTACCAAAAGCTCGCCAGTTCCGAAAACAAAAGGCTTTCCGGAAACAAAGGCGCTCTCTGCCATAACAGCCGCGCTCCCCACGAGTTCAATTAAAGGGCCGCGGCACGAAACGCGCGGCTGTGCGGCGCTCACGTTCCGGACTTCGCGAACCGGCGCCCCGGGAGCCATTTCACGTCGCGCAGAGCGCCGCCCGCAGGGAGCCCTTCGGCAGCCCGGCCCCGCTTCCCGGCCCTTCTTCTCCAGGAACTCCGCGAAGTTCCACCGCCACTCGGCGCCGCCCGCCAGCCGGGCCCCCGGCGCGGAGCTCCGCACGGAGCTGCAAACGCCGCCCTGCCCGCCAACCGCGAGGGCCGCGCCGCCCGGAGGAGGCCGTGAGCGGAGCCGCCGCGCGAGCAGCGCCCATCTGAGCCCCTTCGGTCCGGTGCAAAGGGCCGAGAGCCGCCCCGCGAGGGGCACCGAGAGCTCCCCGCCCGCCCCGCGCCCCCACGCACTCACCGCTCCGCCGCCGCCGCGCTCCCTTTGTTCCTCCCCGGGCCGAGCCGGCGGCGAGCACCACGCCTGCGCGCACCGCTCCGCACTTTCGCCACGGCCGCCGCCCTGCTCCCGCCCGGGGGTGTCCGGATGACGGGGGGCTGGTCGGTCCGTCCTGCTCGCCTCGGAGACGCCGCCGGGTTGAGGGCTGCCCCGCGCCCCGCTGAGAGGGGAAGGAGAGCGGAAGGTGTTGTGGCGAATCTGCGGGGAACGCTACCTCACCCCGCCGAGACCGGGATGGGGCGAGGGCGGGGTGCGGCGTTCCCGCGCTCCCGGGGCGGCGGGCGGGACGCTCTGCTCCGCGACCGCAGCCTCGCGTGCCCTCAGCCAGCACAGCCAGGGCGCAGGGCGGGCGGGAGCCGTGCGCGAGCCGTGCGCTTCCACGTTCCTTTCAGCACTTTCCACAGAGATGTGGCCACGTTCCCCGGTAGCGAATCTGCGGCGCAGGGCGGCGTCGCGCATGGTGCCTCGCGGCCATTGCGCGCCTTTTTCATCTGAGGTGGCGACGCCGCGCGTCCAGCCCGAGTGAATCCTGTAAAAAATCCCGTAAAAAATCCCATAACCGGGCGAAATAAGGGCTTTTTGGGGAACCGTCGGCCGCCTAGAATAGTTCTACCCGACGTGGTGACAATGGCGGCTGTGCGAGGCTGGCCAACAGAACGGCCGAATGACGGTGGTGCTGCAAAGCGCCCCGAGGCCGAGGCACGGCACCGCGTGCTCCGCTGGGATCGGTTACACCGCGGAGCTGTCATTGAGAGGCTGCAGGTGAAATAAAGGTTGGGGACTGGAAAAGTGTCCTGTGGCTGAAAAATAGCGACCCTTGTGCCTGTAATGGACGGCTGTGGTGGGCCTGGTGCACGAGGAGAAACAAAGCGTGACTGCCCTTGGAAAGGCACCAGAAACAGCTCTTTTTAAACACAAACAATGCCTGTATAACCCTGAAGGGTGATAGAAGGGGAGAAGAACAAACTGGCCGTAATGCCGAGGTGCTGCAGTCCTTGGTGCCTGCAGCCTGGCCTGCTTTGTTTTTGTTCTTAAGTAAGCACGCTTTCATGGACACATGAAGAGATGAGCACTGCCCCCACTGCTCACAGTGTGCTAATGGAGATTTGTGGTATTACACAGAATAATCTGACTTGCATTTGACAACAGAAGGAATATGACAATTGAAAAGATCCTCCAACAGCCAAATCTGCAGCCTTTTGGTCCTCCAGCTTCACTTGGGCAGAACGTTTGTAAGGTAAAGATAAAATACTTACAGAAGTGAAAAATAGCCTTGTTTTGTCTTGGATTTGACTCCATGCATTCATTGCATTGCATTGTTCATGAAATTAAATTGTGTTCGATGTTGCATTAAATTTGCACAAGTTACTGGAATGTTCAATGCAGTTCCATGCTAATAATTCTGAATCATTGTACATGTTTCCAAGGTCAGCAATTTACTGTTTTCTTTGGTTTACTTGGTTTTACTTGGCTCTTCTTGTGCCCATGCACACCCACCTATAGTTCACACTGACACCTGCGGAAGTTTGGGTAGTTTATGAGCCAACAAAGAAATTTGAAAAGAGCAATTTAGCAGGTAACTTAAAAAGATACTCCCTTGTATCGGTACTTTAGGGGAAGAAAATGAAGTTAAAACCAGCGTGCATATTTGAGTCAGTTTGAGAGTAGCAGCAGCTCTTGATATGCTGGAGGAATTCCGTGTCAGGCAGTCCCATGTGGAGAAGCAGCCCTTTGATCAGGGAAGGGTGGGCTGCCTGCAGTGCTGTAGTAACAAAGCCAGCTATTACTGTGTGCTGCAGTGTTTTTTTCTATTAGCCTCAGGTTTCGTGGTCATAAAACAGTACAGCTGAGTTACTACAGCTGGTTTCCAGCTTTAATCAGAAGCTGTGTGTTTTAGGAGCTGTTGAGCTGAGTGTTACAGCTGTGGGGATGGAATACAGCTCTCACTGCAGGATAGCTCAGGATGTGTTTGTGCTGCTGCTGCTGTACTGAGACGGCTTCAGAAATGGCAAGGTCAGGTGTGTAGGTGATGAAATGTGCACAGTTAAGGGCAGCAATTTTTCTGGTTGCTTAAGCTTCCCAACTGAGAGTGACTAATGCACAGTAATACCAATATTCTAAAATAATGTTTAGATAGTACTGCAAGATTAAGGCCGGGTTTGTGCTCTGTACTGTGCTGCTGAGGTTTGTGTCACAAGGGAAGACATTTGGAGTTAGGCTGAGGAAGAGAAACCCCAAGAACTGAGTACTGGGGTCCAAGAGTGAGCGGGCGCTCACTGGCCAAAGAAAAAATGTGTCTGTGGGTAAGGTTTTCCATTTTTGGTTACTGTGGAGCTGCCAGGGCTTTCTGTGTGTATGGTAATGGCCATGTGCCTGTGCAAGCTCTGCCTGCGTGAGAGGAGCTGTAAGGTTATGTGTTCAACCAAGTTTCTGTTACATGTTTACTTGCTCTTTACCTTTGCCAGCCAGCTTATCTTTTAGATCATCGCTTTGTAAGCCAGATGCCGTCATCTGCTCCTGGTATGGCACTCACACAGAGATCTTGTCAGGTTGGCTGGAATTAGCAGCAGATTGTCTAGTAGGAGGACACACAGCTCCCATGTGCTGGTAGAGGTCCTCGGGGAGTTGGAGTTATACTGCAGGGAGCTTTGCAAAGTGCTCAGATGCAGTGCTGTGGATTTTCTTACCTACAGCTTTAGTTTGTGTTCTCTGCCACCCAGACCCCCCAAGACAGACACACTGAAGCTCACAAAGCAGCATGGGCAAACTCTGTTTTTATTATTTTTATTGTTGTACTGCTATTTGCTTTGGTAAGTTTGTATCCCTGTTTAAAGTGCCTTAAAGCAATTAAAACTTAGTTTAAATTCAAGTATTGTGAAATATAGAGTACAGCACAAAAAAAAAGCTGCATAGTGAAAATGCCAGGAGAGGCTGTTACATTCAGGATGCCAACTCAGGTATTAACACCACCAGATCAGTTTAAGGTTAATGATAATTAGCCAGCTTTATACAGTAGATAGAGAACTATGGGCAACGTAAACATGGCGTTCTTGCTGTTGATAAAAGGCAGAAGCGTAACTGAACGGTGGAGGACTCTGTGGTGCCAGTCCTGTGACACGTGCCTTGAGTCATATGGCACTCACTGACACTGCAGTCAATTCTTTCCTGCTGCTTTGGATCCCGCAGATTCTGTCTGTGTGTTTTCTTGTTTTGAGCCACCATAGTTCCAGTGATCCCAGCAGGAGTTTCTGACCTCCTTAAATCCCGGTAAACAAACGTCCTTACTCTGTTTTGTTTGTTTGAAGTTTGTCCCGTGGTCTCATAAAGCATGTTGGGGTTCCATTTCTGGTTTCTGTCCATGTGCAGATGCAGGACTGCCAGCTCTGCTTTGTATTGCCCATTGCTCTGCCTGCTGCCTCCAGGGGCACTTCATGTGCTGGCAGCTCTGACTCAGCACGCGCAGCCCTTATTTTGTCTGTCCCACTGAAGCCATAGTGGTCGTGACCTGGCAGCTCAGTGATCTGCTGTGTGCTGGGTCAGGGGCCAGTTTTACCTACAGGATTTGTCAGGAGAGGGATCTGTTGAAGGTATTTAAATTCACGTTGCAACTACTCACAAAATGAATTAAATATCGGTATTAAAAATGGATGCTTGACTCCTTAAATTTGATTCTCAATATGGCTGGGAGTCGTTTTGCAGATGCACAAGGAGAGCTAAGAGAGTGATTGATTTTCAGTGGGAATCCCTGCTTCAAAAGCAGCAGAACCATACAGCTCAGTGCTATTTGTTTGTAATGGCACTGCTGAGAAATGTGTCCGTGGTCATAGGGGAGAGACATTTTTGCTCAGTTGCTGCCTAAAAAATACTTAAAAATACTATTCACTTTTGAAAGAAAATTGTTGGTTAATACCTGGTGTGTTTTAAGAGCGTTGTTGCATGTCACTTTTTTTTTCTATTAGAAAGTGTTTTAAAATATCTATCAAGTATGACAATTATGATAGGAATGGTTCATCAGCCAATATGCATATGCAATATTGAAGAAGAGAATGAAATATGTGGTTCTCATTCCCAGAGTTCTCTTGCCGAGGTACAAAGTTACAGTTTAATTCTTTTAATGTTTGGAGAAGTACTACAAAACAACAGCGATGAGAGAACTGCAGCCTGCGCCCGGAGCAGAGAGCTGGAGGCAGTCAGGCTTTGCAGGATCTGCCTCTCCTCTCTTCTCCCCGCCGCTGTGCGTTGTGTGCAGGGCCGTACGGTGGCAGGGGGCTCCGGCCTGCTGTGCCCAGCGCTAGGGTGTGATGGAGGGAATGCTGCACGAGCGCCTCATCACCAGCCTGACCTCGATGGCAGGCAGGGCTTTCTGCTGGCTGGGTTTGTGCCCTTCCTCGGCCGCTGCCAGGTGCAGGTCAAAGCGCAGCGAAACGGATTTCTTCCTCAAGCGCGGGTTGTCCTTGAAGAAAGAGCCTTCCCACTGCTTAATGACTTCGTCCACTTTTTCTGTCCTGAAACAGTAAAGCACAGGTGTTCTGACCCTGTAGGTGCTGTGCAACACGTAACTTCGGGACTGCTTTTAAAATGTTTCACTGAGTAACCAGAGTTCTTATTTATTTATCTGCTTATTAAATTTTGAACAGCTTCCTTCTGGAAAGCCAAGTCCAGGGGACATTTCAGTGTGGTTTTGTTTGTACGCTTTTAAGTAGACTTGGATACAAAACCATTGCTCTGAACACAGATAGTTTGTTTCCAAGGAGAAAGAATAAAACATTCCAGCCCTCAGATGCCCCCTGAGCAGCCAGGCTCTCCTTCCCTCTATAGTAATCAGCAGAACAGAGGGGTTTCCCAATAGAGCCAGGCCTGAATTTGTTTGTGTAAAAACGCCCCAGAGGCACTTTGCAGACATGGCATGGGCTCGTTTACTTTCAGCTTTAACTAAATGTATTAATAGTTTCATTCTTGACAGAAATTGCAGTTAGAAGCAGAGACATGATATTGCTAGCTCAAGAAGTAAATGCTAATAAAGATATCTTTAATTTTTAATTTATTGTTAAAACACACCATTCAATAGAACTTGAACTACCAGTGCTACTCTGGAGCTTCCTAGCTGTGTGGATACTAAAGAAAGGAAAAATCAGAGAGCGAATTGTAATGCCCAAGATTCACATTTAAATATTTTCTTAAATTGATGCTTATCTTACTTTATAGTGCCATGAGCTTCAGCACTTTGCTTCATAATATTTTCTTCTAGGACTGCTTGTTTCGTCATCAACTCCATCTTGTCACTTTCGTGCTTCTTCACTCCATCTATAAAAGAAAACGCAGATGTGCCATGCAGGTGGATGGAGGGTGGCAACAGCCCAGCTCTGAAGCTCTGTGGAGGCCGTGAGCCCAGGGGGCGGCGAGCACCGACCTGCAGGCAGCGTGAGGGCGGTCGTGGTGAGGCTGGGCTTCCTGCCCTTCTGCTCGGGTATGGAGCAGCCGTACCTGCAAAAATAAACAGCTTCACCAGCACCTCATAGCACTGAATTACTTTAATCCATCACTTGTTTTACAAGCTGTGGGCTATTTAAAAATAGGAGGAGTATGAGAAGTTCTGTTTGACTGTAGTAACCATTAGGATTTCTTGTTCTGAATGTAAAACTAAAGAAAGTGAAAATGTCTGTTTAATTTTGTCAGCAATTTTAACAGGTTATAGTGTGTTGGTTGTGTGCCAGGTAGAGATATTTATTTTTATTAATACTGTGTTGAGTGTATTTTCACAGAGTTAGAAGCACCAAATCTGAGTCCCTTGTGTGGAATCTTCTTATTCAAATGTGTGAGGCTGCTGGATGAAGGCCCTGCATCATCTGAGGGAGGCAGTGAGATGCTGAGAGCTCTCTGAGCCCTGTTTTGTTTGGGTACCAGTGGAAGCGATGCTGTGCTTTTCCTCATCCTCTGTTGCTGACAGAGCTGTAGCTGCCTCTCGCAGATCTGCACATGAAAGTGCTGGTGTTCAGTGTGCTGGGGAGGGCAGACAAGGAGCAGCTAAAGCAGAGTGTCACTGCCAGACACTGTTAGACAGCGTGCTGATGTGCAGAGCCCCAGATGTGTGACTGACACTTGTTTCAGGTGGTGCTGAGTGATACGAGCCTCGTGCAAAGGGATCCTTCGTGTGACCCATGGGAGCAGCCACACAGACCTGCACTGACAGCAGTGCCTCCAGTGAGCGTGCAGGCAGCTCGTTATTACCTGCAGTGTACTGAGAGAAGTCTGACATCCATAAGTGTGGAACTGGTAAAGCTGAGCACAATGAAAACGCTTGTAAGGATTTTATAATACCACATTTTACTGAGTGGCTCTTGTATTTACAATGCGACGGTTATTTCACTGGGGACTTCTGAAGAGGAAGACAACGTGAGTTCAGCCAGCAGTACCTGTTCTCTTCCTGCTCCAGCAGGCTGCGGTACGTTGCAATCTCCTCCTCCAGCTTCATCCTCGTGTTCAGGAGAATTTCGTGCTCTCGCAGCTGCTTCTCGATGCCTCTCCTCACGTCCTGCAGGTCCTTCTCCAAGCATTCAATCTCCGCCTCTAAGTTCTGTAGCTGCATGTGGTACTGCTGCTCCGTGGCACGCAGCGAGCGCTCCAAACCCTTTTCCTGTTGAATTTAACTCTTGTAAGATTTGGAAAGTGTCCGCAAAGATGCTGTACATACTTGTCATTACCAGTCAGACTGTTTTTATGTCGAGTCCTCTAAGAATATTACTTAAGAACAATAGTACAATAGTCTTAAGGTAAACTTTGTTAAGGCTGAGATATTTTCCAGTAAAACCTGTAATCATTTAAGAGAGGATAAAAGCACACGGCCCTGGGTTATTTTCCCCAGAGCCGGCTGCTGCTCTGCGGCGCTTACCACAGCGTGCAGGGATTCGATCTCGCTCTGCATGTGGTGCCACTGCCGCCGGGCCTCGCTCAGCTCTGCTCTGGCCGCCTGCAACGCTTCTGCATCTTTGTCCATTCTTTTCACTGGAGCTGCTTCTTGCTGCAGGGGATAAAGAAACAGATGACATAAAAATATTTATATAAAAATAAACTAAACAGGCACACAAAGATCTCATTAGGATTTTTTTTAGATTCCCATAGATTTGTTAGAGCTAGCAGTGATGAGTTAACATTCTATGTGCTGTGTAATGAGGAAGCTATCCTGCTGTGCATGGGGAGTCGTTGGCTGTCTGCAGCCCCAACATTTCTTGTAGAGGAATTCCAGTGCAACCCAAATGGTTGTATTTAGCCCACATCCAACTCCTGAGCACACAGGCTTGGCTTCATGCAGGCAGGGGAACTGCAGTGGAAATGGTCTTTAGTTGTAATGTATTTTTAAAATTTGTTTCTAGGGACAGCTTTATAGAAAGGGATGCATGAATATGTTACAGTTGATAATAGCTGTCATTATGTTCCTGCCTGAGCAGATTGCTATTTGAGGGCAAGCACCTCCATGCATTACCTGAATAGCATCTCTGTCCAAGCCTACAACTTCTTGTTCTTTAAGAACAGGTTAATTAATTTGCACAGAATGGGAAGGGAAAGTTGGTGTGCTGTGTGCTGACAGCCATGTGCACTGTGGCAGTACGTCTGCGCAGCTCACGATGGAAAGGAACTCTTTAAGGTCAGGTGTTACAAACATTTCCCCCACCCTCCAGTATTCTAACCTGTCGTAATGACCACCATCACACCACCATTTCGGTGAAACCCTGCAGTTGGCTGTTCTGGAAGGGCTCGCTCAGTGCTCCCTGCAGAGTTGCTGTCACACAGCTGTCGTGGCTCTGCTGGGCTGCTTTGTGCCACGCTCAGCTGCGGGCCTGGCCTGGCCTGGGGCTCCAGCAGGCGCTGCAGCAGCACTGTGAGCAGTGCTTCAACACAGCTCCCAATGCCTGCAGTCCCTCTTCTGCAGCACTACTGGGTGACAGCGTGTCTGATTTGCAGATTGAGTCTCTTGGCATTTGATGTCAGTCACTTGGTTTGCTGTTTTATTTCAAGGCTTTTAGGTTTTAGAGATGTTTTGTATATAAACCTAAACCAGCAGCACTGCCCGTTGATAACCTGTCACGAATCTGTATGGAGGAACAAATTATATTTGCTGAAAAGTATGGCAGTTTTACTGTGAGCATTAGGAAAGAGGCCCTGAAAAGGCACGGGTTTCTTTAATAGAGGTGCTAAAAGCTGGAAGGCTTTCTTCAAATAAATGGCTCCTTTACATCACCTCCGATATTCGAGATTCTCGTCTGCTGTGTGGTAACAGAGTGCAGCTCGTGTGGCTGTGCAGCCAGCAGTGCGCTGTGCAGGTACAGAGCAGGGCTGCACGGCTCTCCATTAGCGCGCATTTAGGCCGTAAACAAAACCTTTTCTTTCTCTTCCAGTCCAAATCTTACTGCAGTAAAACCAAAATCCCGTCCCCCGTAATATGCTGCATGGAAAAGGCAATGCCGTACCTCACAGAGGCTGAGGGAGGAGCTGCACGGACAAGGGCTGCCTCCTCCTCTGGAAGGTGTCTGCATGAAGTCATTACCTGGGTCCTCGCTGAGGCGGCGCTCCTTATCTGATTCCTGGTGTCGGCCGTTTCATACTTTGCCCCGCTGCCCCCGAGCAGCCGGGCCGCTTCCATCCCCCTCCCATGCTCCCGTTTGGTGCCCGGCCTCGCTGGGGGTGGGGGGGCTCTGCAGAGCCTGCGGCGGGAGGAGGCAGAGCAGCGGCGGCTCTTAAAGCCGCAGAGCTCCGTTCTGGGCGGCGGAGCGACGTCCGTCCTGCAGGTGTCTGCTAACGGCGGCGCCTGGTGCTTCGGCGGCGGCTGGAATCAGGATGCCCAGCTTGTGTGTGGAAGTGAACGCGTGCAGTGCCTTCATGTTTCTGTTACGCTTTAAGTTCGGGTTTTTTATAACCTCAAAGTGTGTGAGGTTAGGAGGTACGAGGCTTACTTTCCCCATTGCTACATGGGGGGTGGGAAGTGAAGGCAGTCTGTCCTGCTTTCTACAAAACTTTCTGTTCCCTGGCCTGTTTTAACTGCTGAATAGTTACAGCCTCAATGATCGTGTATGGTAAGAACTTCCCTTAACTTTTTGAAGTTTTTTCAGCAGTGTGCAGTGTGGGATATTTAGTAAAAATTCTGATTGCACTAAGAAAATGAACCCACAAAGCGATGTGTTTTGGACTGCAGCGTACATCAGTAAAACGAGGGGAAAGAGGCAGTAATGTTACAAGATGCTCCTTTGAAGAAGTCAAAGCCTTGTTCCACTTCAAAGTCTCCTTGTGTGCACAAGGCTTCCTTGTTCCTGACTGTCTGCTGGCACACGTGAAAGGATCCCATGTAGTGCTTGGATTTCTGTGAGCTGGTTGTTGTCCAGCTGACCTGGGCAGGAATGAGAATGTTTTGTTCTCCACTGTTTTTTCGGCAGCTGTCGTAAACATTCTACTTTTACTTAGTTCTAAAAACAATTATTATCAGTTTTTTCGTTGATCCACATCCGTGAAACAAACATAAGATTTTTTAAGCTTAGGAGAGTATGAACAAGAAAGGAACTTGCAACTGTGGTTGCAGGCTCCTTTGGTTCGCCATTGGTGACAGAACAGACCATAAATTGAGTGGTTTCTAGTAATCATAAGTGATTCTACTTTATCTTTTAGATCAGTATTAAATTCAGGATTAATATGCATGTAGGTAAAGTAGAAATCTGCAATAGTACAAAAACGTCTGAAATCTAAAAATTTCTTTATTCCCAATGATTATTCACAGCAATCACAGCTGCATTCCTTGACACGATGTATTACTTCGTATTTCTTCATGTAGGCTGTGTGGAAAACACGTAATCTTGGAAGAGGAATGTGGAAGAAACACACTTTTCACAATGGAGATGCTGTCTGTCACATGCTCCCAATTATTACCTCTTCATACTGACATGTGTATAACAATCTTCTAATTAATTTCTCTCTGGCATTTATCACGGTGACTTTTATGTAGTGGTTGGCTTTCAGACACGGTGGTTTTGCCGTACTGATTTCATCCTCTGATTGTTTTTATTACCCTGGCTTTTGCTCATTCCAAGCGGGAAGTGAAGCAGTGCTCATCGTTGGGTTTGCAGAGAGCGAAACAGAAGCACAGCATGAAGTCTGTGCTGCCATCAGAATTTGAGTTTGGGTCAAACGTTGAAGGGACGTGATGGAACATGCAGAACGTTTGTATTCTGGAGGCACCATGGGATGCTTACAAGAGGTCGCAGTGTGTTCTCTTATCTGTGAATCACACAGAAATGGTCAACATTTGGACTCGCGCACAAAGATGGAGGTGCAGGTTGGGGGGGTTGTGGACCGGCTCTTCGTTTTGTTCGGAACGGCGGATGTTGAGCAGGCAGGCAGTCAGACCGAGGGCTCAGAACGGACGACGGTCCGTCCAGCAGGCGGCGCTCCGGAGCGCCTCTCCGGGTTTGTGCCGCGCTTGGAAATCGGTGAAGCCGCTCCGCTCCCCTGCGGCGGCAGCCGCTGCACTGCTGGCAGAAACTTCTCTCTTCGTCCTCTACACGGCTGCAAGTTGATAGCTTGCTTTATTTATTATTTATTTATTTATTTATTTTTTATCCACTATTCCTTTAATCCCAAGTTTAGGCAGTTTTCAAAAATTATTTTCATGTTCTAACATTGGATTAATGCCTCTATGTGAGGAGCACAATACTGTGGATATTACATATGGTAAAGCAAAATGCTGAACAGAATGGAATACATGGCTCAGGAGTCCTCGGTGGTGATGCAAAGAATGAAAGGAGATTAATATCTTAAAGCTTGCTGAGTCCTTTTATTAGTCAAGAAATTTGGAAAACTTGGTTAAAACAGCAAAAATGTATTATCTATTAATTCTATTAACTCAGAAATATAGAAAGCATATTTGATTGGATGTGTGCACAATGTTTCTAGTAACTGAACAGAGAATTGATGATAGACTTAAAGAACACCATGAAAATAATGCAGCTAATACCAATGGACTGAAGTGGAAACTGTATGGATGCTAAGAATGAAAAAGTATGTTCTGCTTCTATCAGAGAATCTTAGCAAAAAGCCTATCTATTTTTTTTTTTACTCCATTCAAAAGAACAAACTTGTTTATACTCCTGCTTGGAAAGAAACATGGAAAGAATGGATCTTTGCGACCTCAGGTTGTGCCTCATATCTTCTCTTCAACTTCCTTCACGTGCGATGCAACAACTTTTCCATCCACCACTTCCTCAACGATCGTCTTGATCTTCCTGGTTTTGGTGGGATCTGAGCATCACAAAGGACACAAAGCAAATATTGAGCCAGTTGTTACCACACCTCACATGGACGGCTGCGTGGAAATTAGTTACTTGTTCCAAAGAACTATGATGTAATTAAACAGAATGGCATGCATTATTTTACTTTAAAACTTTGGAAATAATTCTGAATGGGTACTTAATAGTTCTGTATCTGGTAGTTCTGCTGGTTATGCCAAACATCGATATTTGCCTGAATTTCAGTGTTCAAGGGCTATTACAGCAAAGCTTTATTCGGTTGAGTTCTGCCTACCCTGAGAAGAATCCAGTGACTGCGTTTGTGACTTCGGCCCCGTCAAAGATGAGCTTTCAAATACAACTCCCTGCCCGCCACCCCTGAAAATGAAGCAGAGACACGCAGTGCTGCAGTGTTTGTCACGTTCAGGAGAGTTTGTGTTATTTCCTCTTCAGGTTGGCATTCATAGGTTAATTAAATACTGTGTAGAACTCATGATGTCTGTGAAGAAGAGCCAGTTTTCAGAATCTGTCCATCTGCCTTACTTGTCTTCTGGTGAGCGCAGCGCTTGTTTTTGACTCTTCCTGGAGAGGATGCTGTTACTGAAAATAAAACAAAGATTTGGGATGCTTTCCTTACACAAACTCGCCGTCCAGCAGGCGGCGGTAGGTTTCGATCTCCATTTCCAGGCGAGACTTGATGTCGAGAAGCTGCTGATACTCCGCGCCCTGGCGCTCCATGTCAGCCCTGACCTGCAGCAGCTGAGACTCCAGGTTCCCAATCTGAAGCTGCATTTGTGAAAGCTGAGCGCAGTAACCTCCTTCTGTTTCTGCTAACGTGTCTTCAAGGGATTTTTTCTGTGTAGGAAAGACACTGAGTAATAGCTGACTGAGGAAGAAGGATTCCTTACAAATACAAAGCAACAGAATCAGTTTGATGGCAGTAAGCGTAGCCTCACTGTTCAGAGGTATTTGTTTTTTTTCTTGAAATCCTGGTTTGTTAATTAGCTTTTGCTGCTTCACTGAATGTGGACATGAAAGTTAACTTGCTTTATAACATGTTACTCACAATCCAGTTGTGTATATATGACTGCTATTTAAGAACTAAAAGAATGCACGATTTAATAGGAAATACATGCAAACCTTTGATCCTGTAGAAAAGTATAAGATCTAAAAAGAGCTGGTAAGTTGGAGAAGGTTCTCTGTCTAATTAGCAGTTTCCACATACCATGGCAAGCTGAGATTGTAGCTCAATTTCCAAGTTCTGAAGAGTCCGTTTCAGGTCGGTGATCTCGCTTTTCCCTGACTGAAGCTGCTCGGTGTTGGTGGAGATCTCCCTTTTCAGCTCCCCACTCTGAAATGGCAAAGAGGAAGAGTAACTCCTCTGTTCTGGGCACTCACGGTTACACGCGTTGGGCCGAATTTTCCGTCAGTGAGGTTGTTACTTTTTCATTGAACCACGCTTCAGCCTCTTTTCGGTTTTGCTCAGCAATGACTTCGTACTGCCCCCTCATGTCATTCAGAAGCTTGGTGAGGTCAATTCCTGGGGCTGCATCCATTTCAACGCTGACTTGGCCAACTGCGCTGCTCTGGAGACCCTGGAGCTCCTGGAAAGATTTGAAGTAAAAATTATCTTAATAAAAGGCCAAATACTTCTACCAGCAACGTATGCAAAGAAATGTGTGCGACACAAATTCTTTTTCCATGGGAACCCTTCCTAACTATGTTCTGCCTCTTCTTTGAAGAATATGAAATGTCGAAATATGACACAGATCCTGCCTGTCATTTCCATTTGTCTCATGGATTTGATATTTAACTTTCTGATTCATTGCGTATCTCCTGAGCAAGCTCAGAAAAGAACAGCGAGCAAATGAAATACTGACATGAAACCAAGGATCTGCCACGTGTGTAACTGAGGGAATAATTGGATGTTTCACACTTCCATCTGCCGTTTTATGAATATATAAAGAAAAAACGTATACCTCTTCGTGATTCTTCTTGAGATAAGCCAGTTCTTCATTCAGGCTTTCAATCTGCATCTCCAAATCGGCTCTTGTCAAGGTCAGCTCATCCAGAACTCTGCGCAGACCGTTGATGTCAGCCTCCACACTCTGGCGAAGAGCCACTTCATTCTCGTATCTGAAAAATAAGTAATTAAATGTGCCTTTAATGTGGATAATGTGGCCAAATGCACACTGTTACTCTACTCCTACAGCTTTTGCTATGAAATCTTACTGCACAAAATTCTCATAGTATTTCTGTTAACTTATTCTTCAGTGAAAGAGATTTGTGAGTACTAAGAACGTTTCCCCCCGAGTACCAGGGAGAGGTTTTGCAGTACTGAGAGATACTTACTTCAGTCTGAAGTCATCAGCAGCCAGCCTGGCATTGTCAATCTGCAGGATGATTCTCGCATTGTCGATAGTCGCATTGATGATCTGGAACACAAGCACCGACCAGAGAATGATTTCACAGCCCAAGGGCTTTGCAGCTCAGCACAGCTTCTTGCACAGCTCTTATTCTAAGTGTGACAAAAGTAACTTCTTAGACCATTGCATAAATAACTGCAAACGTATATAGGACAGATTTCCAGCCTCTGCAAATTGTCTTGTTTCGCTTAGTGGAAGAATGCTAGTTTGCCCTGTGTAGTTCAGAATCTCTGCAGGATTTGCCAGGAAGTCTGTCTGATTTATGAATTGAATTTGTGATTTTAAAAATACAAAACTTTCTAAAATGTGAGCATTTGAACAAGACTTTGCACAGCTGGACTCCACTGCTTGCTTCCTTATTCACATTAAACCAAGTCACTTCACAGCATTGTGTGACAGAGCTACAGAACCAAAATTAATCATACATGGAAAGTTCCACACATGATTGCAGTGCAGGATGATTGCATGCATCCATCAGTAGCTTTGCTCTTGGTTTCTGAAAGGAAATTGTTATTTTTTTTCCAAATGTGCGGCAATGAATTGCAAACGCAGAGATGCATTGAGTACATAGCTTTGCTACCTTGTTTCGAAGATCTTCAATTATTGGGTAATATTTACTGTAGTCGTTCCCAGATCCCGGAACAGCAGCTCCAGGCCCATTTTTCTCATACCACTCTCGGATTTTACGTTCCAGCTCCGTATTGGCATCCTCCAGGGATCGCACTTTGTCCAGATAAGCGGCCAGGCGGTCATTGAGGTTCTGCATCGTTTCTTTTTTAGAACCAGAAAGAAGGCCGCCATCCCCACCACCACCGACGCCAAATCCACCTCCAAAGCCAGCAGCTGCGCCGCTGCCAAAGCCGCCTCCAAAAACGGCGCCTGAACCGCTCCCAAAACCGCTTCCTAAACCCCCACCAAAGCCACTGCCTGAGCCGCTTCCATAGCCGCCTCCTGAGCCGCTAACGAAGCCTCCGCCAAAGCCGCTGCCTGCGCTGCTCCCGAAGCCCCCGCCGAAGCCAGAGCCGAGCAGGGAAGCAGCACCGAACCCTCCGGCGGATCCAGCGCCAAACCCGAGGCTGCTGCCACCAAAGCCGCCTCCAGTGCTGCTGCCAGCCATCCGCAGAGAGCCCCCGCCAAGGCCGCTCCGAGAGGAGAACTGCCGGGATCCCACAGTGCTGCGCACAGACAGGGCCATGGTGCTGCGCAGGGCTGGGCTGCTTGGCCAGGCAGGGTGCGGAGCAGGGCAGATCGGGGACGCGGTGCCTTTATATAGGGGCTGTAGTGGTGGCAGCACCCTGACCCCAACCCCGCCTCCAAACAGAGCCCTGAATTCTTTCTTTCTCTCTCTTTCGAATTTAGGGAGGAGAAAAGCAGTTTAGTAAATCCAGGACAGACTAAATGATACGTGCAAATCTAAATTGCCCATGGGAGCGGAAATCTGGCACCCTGCAGGTGTTTGTATGAGGAGAAATGGGTGGAGTAGAGCTGAGACATCGAGATGATGTTTTGCCATGTGCAATGGAGCGCAAATTTCTTTTCACATTTAAATCCATCTTAAATAATTTTTCTGTCACTGCATATTCACTGCTTTCTTGGTTTGGGGCTATTTTCATAGAATTATGCTTGAGTGAGCAGAACGATCCCTTTCGTGTGATACTTCCCAGCATGCGTGTCAAAAATGTGTCTCTATCCACAACACTTTTCTGGTACAAACCTGTGGCAGATCGGTGTTCTCTGGGTGCCAAGTAAGAACTTAGCGAGAAGATCAAACGTGGCTCTAGGTTAGAAGCTTTGAGCTGGAAGCTCTTCAAAATCAATGTAGTTTTATTTCTAAGTTATTTTGAAAGACAAAAAATTGATTTTCCTTTGTCCTGGGTTAATTATATCACTGGATTTGTCAACTGAAATGTACTCCTCTTTAATTAACGCACACCCAGGAGCTCAGGTGTGGTTTTTGGGGTGGGCGGGGGTGGCAAACCGTATTAAGAGCAGTAGATCAAAAGTTTAAGTGAAGCATTTATGTAGAAATGAATTGATAGCCTGATATCAGTGACTCGGGACTAAGAAAGCAAAGAATTATTTCCCTTGGCAGCTCTTCATGAAAATGTAAATAATGCAGTGGGCAGCAGCGACTGCAAAAGGAAGAGCTGTGTGTTGTGTGAGGAGGAAGCGCCGACTCCTTGGCTGAAGGGCTCAGCAGGTTTGTGCAGCAGCGAGGGGGGCTGGCAGACGTGGCAGTGCTCAGCTCATATCTGACAGGCAGGTTGTATGATTGGTTATCAGGTATCTCTGGAAATTCCCAGAGAATGACAATTAACGAGAAGGCTTCTTCAGTTTTGCATTTTAATTTATTATGAAATGAAAATTGATGTTTCTTATTTGAAAATCACGTTTATTGAAGTGAGTCTCCAATGCACTGCAGTGATATTTCACATTCAGAACAGATGCACCGAATCAACATTTTGATGCTTTTTCAAATACAAATCTACTCTAAATGTTCTGCTGTGTAAGGCAAAAACGATTTTATTAATAAACACACACACACACAAAGATGAAAAACTGAATTGTCTGAGATTTGATAATTTGGCATTTTTCAACCCTTGCTGCTTTCAGGGAGAGTTAAATTGGTTTCTTTATGAAGTTCAGTGGTGCCATTTTGGTGCTCTCCCCTCCACTGGCGCTGCTCACATCTTCTCCTCGATCTCCTTAACCTGAGAGGACACGACTTTGCCATCAATCACCTCTTCGACAATTGTCTTGATCTTTTTAACTTTACTTGATTCTGGTAATGAAATGGAGCAGTACATTAATAAAAATGTATTGACAGGATAAAATTACTGTAGCACTGGCAGCAATTTCACTAATGAGAAAATAGACAAAAGCATCTTTTCAATGCACAGTTACCAGGAAGTAAACTTTTGGGTTTATCTTCCTTCTAACATTCTGTATGTTACCCATAATACTATTCTGGGTGTTGTGTTAAATAACTGTTCATCATTATGTTTTTGCTTCAGATTTGCACAAATTTGCTAACCTGAAAACTAGGACCTTGCTTACACAGATGGATTTTTTTGCTGTTGAAGTGTGTGCACTTCATTTAGGAGCCTGATCTCCTTGTGCGGTCAGTGGAGAGAAGCAGATGCCTCTGAAAACCTTCAGGAAGGAATTCCATAACCTTGCTGCTCATCTGCCCTTTGAGAAGTCTGTGGTTTTACCTTTGGCACCTAGGTTACACACATAACGCAGGGCTTGTATAATCCCTGCAGTTTTCCTGCTCGTACGGTTGATTGCTTTCTTGTTCTAAGAGTTCACTGGTTGTTTATTTGCTCTGAAAACTGTGCTTTTTAAAATCAGGCTGCTTAAGTCCATAACATTTAAACAAGAAGCCATCAAAAATACATGGCTTGTGCAACATACCTTTTTCAAGATCATTTGCCTCCTCTTGGACAAACCTGTTCAGATCATAAACAGAAAAATGTAAGTAAACTGCGTGACATATAGAAGGAACAACCTGGTATGCTTTCTGCACCTTTCATCAAAACACATAAGTTTCCTTTCATCAAGATGTTGGCTAAAGCCAAGCCATGTGTTCAGATGAGTTTTCATTACTAAAGTAAATTTCATCTAGCATTAGCAATAGGTGAAGTTAACCTGCAGGCTGATTTCTGCACTGTTACAACTTCAGCTCCTGAGGATTTGCCCAGCCTGGTTCCTGAGGCAGAACTGCCGCACGGGGAGACCTTTGGGGAAGCACTGCTCTCTGCTCGTGCTGCTCTTTCAGAAACCTCTGCGCTGCACAGCAAGGGATGCTGGACTATCCGGACAATAGGTGTCAGCTCATTTGCACCTCCTACCTATTTAAGTAGCTCAGCTGCTGGCAGCAGAAGTACAGCAGAGCAGAATCCTGCGCAGGCTCCAAAACTTGCCATAGACTGCAAGAGGAGGTCAGTGTGTGCTCACTGAGTGCCTTGCTCTAATGTGGGCAGGTACTCATTCAGCCTAAAGCAGTTTAAAAAACTGTGCCCTGGGTTTCTGTCATTATAGTTATGGAAACGTTGATCTAAAACCACATCACCTTTATTCATGAGTGTGGGCGGCTATCAGGCTGCTCAGCTCAAGAAGAGTAACAGCATGTACCTGTGCACAGGCTGGCACAGACTGATCTGAGCACTGCAGCAGCCTCTGAAGGAGCGCAGACTGCAGCCTGCTTGGAGCCTACAGCTGAGAGCCGGGCAACAGGCAGGCTTTTTCCTTCAAAAACCAGGTGCCAGAAGGCAGATTTTACGGCTGTCTGAGAATTCAGAGAGCGTTTGCACTGCTGTCGGCCCCTTTCCTCACCTGACGTCCTCTCCTTCCAGCAGACGTCGGTACGTGGCGATCTCCAGCTCCAGGCGAGTCTTGATGTCCAGCAGGATGCTGTACTCCGTGTTCTGTGCCTCCATGTCGGCCCGCAGTTGCCTCAGCTGATTCTCTAACCTGGCAATTGTCTCCTGTATTTGAGCCAACTGAAAACTGTAACGTGCTTCAGTTTCAGCCAGAGTGTCTTCCAAAGACTTCTTCTACAATGAGTGAAAAAGAACAGAGATTTATTGTTCAAGAGGATGCATTTTGTCCTTAAAATTAGATTTGGAAAAATGTCTCAGTTTCTGTATTTATCTCTATAACCATCTTCTAAACACGGGCCCAACTTCAAGAACTGTGTATTACTCACCATGTTCAGATTGGTCTGTAATTCCACCTCCAGGCTCTGGCAGATCTGTCTCCGATCTGTGACCTGTCTCCTTTGTTCTTGCAGCTGTTCTACATTGATTGCTACTTCCTGGTTCAGCGCTTCTGTCTGAAATACGAAAATGGAAGGACTGTAAGCTGTGACCAAACATAACAGCGGCTCTTGCTGATGTTCAAGCCATTGACCTTACTTGCTTTTCAAATCGTTCTTTGGCTTCCTGGCGGTTCTTTTCTGCCATTTCTTCATACTGCCGCCTCATGTTTTCCATAATGCTTGAAAGATCAGTACCTGGAGCAGCATCCACCTCTACGCTAACCGAGCCGCCCACTTGTTTGCGCAGTCTGTCAACCTCCTGCAACATTGAGCACCGCGTTAGCATCAGCTCAAGTGAACTTTCAGGCCTAAATATCGGGCGCAAGTTCAAAATTACAGACACGGGGCTGACTCTTAATTCTTAGATGTCCCTGACAAAAAACAAACAAACAAACAAACAGGTGACAGTTTTGCTGCTCTCACCTCCTCATGGTTCTTCTTAAGAAACACTATTTCTTCATTCACATTTTCAATCTGTGATTCCAAGTCTGATTTAGTTAAAGTCAGGTCGTCAAGGACTCTCAGCAGCCCATTGATGTCGCTCTCAACACTTTGCCTGAGCAATAACTCATTTTCAAACCTGTAAAACAAGGCTTCTTTGGTCATCCTCGAAGTGCTGCCGTTTGACAGACATATCAAATCAATGACTTCTACAGCCCAAGTTCTAGAATATTTATTTTTACAGAGCTTTGTGGTTTACTTCTCAGCTTTGATACCAATGAGTAGATGTTATCCTGAATAACTGGGACATGAAGGAGTGCAGGCAATGCGTGCAACTTACTTCAGTCTGAAATCATCAGCAGCCAGCTTGGCGTTGTCAATCTGCAGGACAAGCTTTGCATTTTCCATCTGTGCAGCACTGATCTGAAAAGGAATGGTTGGAAAGGGATGAAGCAGTGGTAGTAGAACTCACAAAGAACACTGAGTGAGTCTTAAACATTAGAAAGTCTGTCACTAATTTGTATCCGGCCAGCGTTAAGCATTTCCTGTTCCAGGTGAGACAGTTCCAACTTGAAACAGCAGCTTTTCCACAACAGATTGTGATCTTGCAGTTCATGTTGTTATGGATGGCTGTATGAGATCTTACCTTGTTTTGGAGATCCTCGATTGTTTGAAAGTAGGAGCTGTAGTCGCTCCTTATGCCTCCTGTATTCTTCTCATGCCACTCCTTGATCTGCTTTTCAAGCAGGGAGTTTGCTTTCTCCAGAGAGCGCACCCTCTCCAGATAGGCGGCCAAACGGTCGTTTAGGTTTTGCATGGTTGATTTCTCATTGCCGGAGAGCAGCAGGTCGTTGTCAGAAAAGTTGGAGTAGAAGGCACCGCCGGAGCTCTGCCTGCGGACGGAGCTGCTGGAGACGCGGGTGCCATAGCCGCCCGCCCCGCCGTAGACGCTGGGCGCCTGGATGCGCTGCACGGTTGTGCTCCTGATGGACCGGGCGCTGCTGCCGGGCGCTGTGCCCTGCAGGCGGGCAGCCGTGCCCAGCTGGAAGCTTTGCGTGGAGAACGACATCGTGCTTCTGCTGAGGTGGGGCGGCTGACTCTACAACAGCGAGCAGCTGGAGCGAGGTGCGGTGTGCGTTCCGTCCACCTTTATGCTGTCTGTGGAAGAGGAAGCACGGTGGTTGTAAACCCCACCTCTCTTGACGCATGCTGTAATTGGTGTCAGTGCAAACAAAGCGCAGGACATTGTCCCTGCATTCTGTAGCGCAAAGGGTTTTTAATCTCTTCATCTGCCTTTGAAAAAACTCCTCAGGAAATTTGGTTTTCTTCGTTTTTAGTTTGAATAAAAGATAAAACACAAAGGAGCTGCTGAATCATTTATAGCAGCCTGTCTCTATACGGCCATTGTCAAACAGATCCCATGTGCAGGTTATGAAATTAAAATGAGTTGACTGTATGTGACAGGAGACTTTAAATATTTATATCTCAATCAAGTACATATTGCTGTTGTGTGAGCAGTCGCCTGGGCCCGAGGGTGGCGTAGAAAAGTCTCAAAATGATTAGAAAGATGGCATTTGTAGCGACTGCCTTAATTCATTCGATTGTGGGCACAAAACAGTAATCTTGGTGTGAAAATTACTGGCGTAGTTTGCTTGCATTGAATGTATGCTGTTCAGTGGTAGAAGGCCCTCAGAAGTTGAACTGGGCTGCAGTTCAGTTGAGATGAGTCAGAAAGTGCATTGCTGTGTGAGTAGGCAAAGCCATAAGGCTAATGGAACCACCTTGATTGCTCACTTTATTTTACATGTGAGATGCTGATGTCCATAGATAGAGCTGAGATCCAGCTTCCAGCACAGCTAGGTGCTCCTCAGCTCCAAGGCCTCCCGTGCGGCTGAAGGGAGAGCAGAGCAGAGCCTGGCAGTGTGCTCAGCACGCTGTGCCCTGCTGTTCCACTGCTGGCTGCTCTGCCGCTGACAGGAAATCAGCTGCCTCTGTTCAGCACACAAAGAAACCCCAGCAGCTGTGTTTTGAGGAGTTCCTCCAGCTGCAGTAGATGTACTTCTGAGATGTGAAATGCTGAGATACAGTGGACAGTGAGTGGAGAAGCTGATTGCTGAGGGAGTTACTGGCGCTGCACAAAAGCAGGCAGCAGGTGTGCAGCAGGACAAAGCAGGTGTAGTTCCTTGGGGCACTGCTTTTAGTGTACTTCAGTGTATTAATAATGTATAGCTAGTCAGGCAGAACAGTTAACATGTATTGTTTGTTTTAGTGAAAAAGAGCAGCTGTACGTACTGGTCTTCAATCTGGGGACAAGGAAATTGGTGGCAGGCTGAGCTGTGGGGCACTGCGCTGCATCTTGGAAGCATCCTCAGGATTTGAGAACTGAGCGTGGGATTCTATGGGCCCAGTTGTGCTCAGTTAAGTTACAGTGCTGTCAGAAGTCTGCTGAGTGGTGCTGGAGCAAGGCAGAGTTCAGCTGCTCTGGAAATATGCATATTCCAAAGCAACATGAGCAGCGTTCAGGGCAGAGCTCCTTTTCATGAAGATGCAAAGCGTACATTCAGCTGTCTGAACTGTCGTTGGACCTTGAGCTTTGGGTGTAGCTGAAAAGCATAAGTGTCTGAAAAACATTTATGGCAGGGCCAGTCAAAGTACACTAGCCAGGTCAATTACCTGTTGCTATAGACACTCAGGGAGGGTCTGTTCTATCTGCTCTGAATAGGAGTCATTGCCATTATTAGGGCACGGCAAAGATCCTGCTACAATTACATCTTCTGGCTGTGTGTTTCACTGCCTGGGTCTCTTATAGTATTCTCTGATGACTTGTTTTTAGCAGACTCCGTGCTCTGTCAGATTTTACGCAGATGTCTGAAGGTCTGTGTGTAGTCACAATAACTGTTGTAGCAACGCCAGCAAGTTGTTTGATTTCCTGTCACCTTTGTGATGGTCACTGAGCAATGAAGATAACCATACAAGGCTGTGATAACGTTGCGTGCCACGTCGCGCCTGTTAGTCACCAAGCAGCCAGAGGTAACCAGGCACGGGAGTTCCAGGAAAAAAGACACACCCAGCTTTGGCTCTGGGTTTGAGCAGCCTGTAGCTGGAGCACCTCTTTCCCTTTGGCTGAATTAAAGGTTTAACTAAAAAGGTTTTTTTAGTTCAGGCTTTAGTGATGATCCGCTTTAATGGTGAAATCCAGCGCCTGTTTATTAGTCCCCGTGACCGCATGGTTGGGTTCAGTTCGGGTTTTGTGTCATAACAATTTGATTCCATAATGTCTTTTACAACGCAGTTGTAAAAAGGCTTCCGCTGTACGAAGTACATTCAAGGAAGAGGAGTTCTGTGCTCAGTATTTCAGCTGTGTTTCAGCCACAATCCATATTGCTGTGTTTGAAAAATACCCCCTTCTCTTCATAACCTCCCTGTGAGAAGGTGTGGCCTCATTTGTGCCACACGTCTGGTTTAGAACCAAGAGAGGAGCAAGGTGAGCGTTCAGGCACTGTGCTGCTGTGCAGGTACAAGCCAACGGCAGCTTCTGAAAGCAGATTTTAATGAAAGAGTGAAAAAGGATACTTAGGACAGTTCTCCACCCTGAAAGCAAACAGTGTTTGCACCATTTGTTAATGCTGCACCCTAGAATGCAAACTGTAAACAGAGATATTTCGTGTTTTGCAAACTGTGATCCAGGCTCACTATGTTCGATCTGGGAAGCAGGATGTCCCAGGGCACAACAACCCTGCAGTCTGCAGGAAAAGCTCCTCCTTTGCACCTGGCGCTGGGACCCGTTCCGTGTTGGTCTCTTTTATCTGAGAGCCACTAAATGGGAGCAGCTGGGCTGGGTTCACGCGAAGGCAGAAAGGATGGAGCTTTCTGGCTCTTGTCCCTGCTGACTGCTGTGAGAACGGAGGGTTTTTCTCAGAACAAGTGAGGGGTGTTTGTCTGAGCTACAAAAGCACTGCAACCAAATCAGAGAAGGACAGATGAGGTCACTAATTGACTGCCTTCCTTAATCCCTGAACACCTGCAGTGCAAGATCTTACAGTGGCTGCCTCACCTACGTATTTTTTTCCTCATTTCCTTCTCCTTTTTACCTTTTGTCCAGTGAAAATATTCAACTAGTCAAAACACTCCACCTTTTGTTTTCTGCAGTGAGTTTTTGATCGGAGGCAGATTTACCATGATGTTAAATTGGACAGTACTCGAGGAAGTGCTGCGGATTTGCAGTGGTGAGGAGGAGAGCGTGTTGGATGCATCCTTCCCCAGCCACTGACTGCAGAGTTGGGAGCTGCCTGTCCTGTCTTAGCCACTGTCAAGTAGAACCAAAGTCAGTGCCAAGGAAAACAGCTCCAGGCCACACAAATGACTCTTTTTTTTTTCCCCCTTTCAAAGTATTGCAAATGTCAGCTTTAATGTAATCTAAGAGATCGCCAGTAGGAATTTTTCCCCTGTGGGACCCATGAGCAGCTGAGGGGCAGCGGAGGAGAAAATCAGCATGCTGCAGAACATTCTCCTTGGTGTGAGAGCAACCAATAGCAATGTTGGCTGAACGCCTGTGCGTGTGGAAATGAGGTTTGTAAGCAGCCATATGAAACAGCTTAAAGCTAGCACAAAGCTGGGACGGCTCAATAGCCACGGGAAGATGTGACACAGAACAGTGGGGTCCCAGAATACCTGAGCTGGAAGGGCCCACGGGATCACGGACCGTGCAGGACCTCCTCCCAACGTGTCTGTATCGTTCAGCAAGCAAACACAATTTCCATGGCCCTGAGCAAATATATGCACACTGATAGCACGCTGTGACAGTTGGGTACGAACACTGCACTGCACGCCATGACATTTATGTAGAATTTTTCCCTGGCTCTTACAAAACAGCAGCCCTTGGGGTGCTGGCAGTGCCCAGCACACAGTCCCAGCTCCAGTCGGCTCTCTGACCTTGGCACAGGGGAGGCACAGCTACCAGGGCAGCTGCTGTGCTGCCTCTCAGTCTCACCTTCACGCAGAAGTGTCGTGCAGATGGAGCTGTGTGTCACTAGGGGCCACCATAGGCCTTCTGAGAGGAGCTGCCCGTGCGAGTCTGTATTGCTTGCTGCAGCTGGCAGGTCGGCGCTGGAACCAGAGCTTCGTGACAGTTATGTAACAAAACTTCACGTATTACCCGCTTTTCTGTTCCCATATCCAGAAGAAAAATTTTTGGCATAATTCTTGTGGCCAGATGTGTAAAGCAGTATTTATCTTCACAGCCACAAGCTGCGGTTACAAGGAGTTCAGTGGTTGTGGCAGTGAGCTTGTTAAGCAACAGCTCTGAGTATTTTCTGTCTGCACCTCCTGTAATGACAGACGTGTTCATTATCCATTCAGCTGATGCCCCTTTCTTCACTGTTGCAGCTCAAGTACCTTGATCCTTAAAGAGAAGTAAACTCTGGACATTAAACATGCATATGTTTTTTGTTATTTGTGTGCTTTGTTTGATTCTGTTGTGTTTTTGCATAGTAGCAATGTAATTTCCAGTGGAACATATCGCTCAGAAAATGGCTCAGTGGGAGCCTTGAAGCTGCTCTGTGGCAAGATTAATGAAGCGCTGCCACAGCTTCAACATTGCTTTGTGCCTCAGTAGGAAGGAAGGACAGAAGTGGTGGTGATTTGCCAGCACTGATAACTTTCAGGTTCCCTTTTTGGGCCCGGTTCTAACAGCACCGCACGCCGCCTCCTTTGTAGTTGCACTGCTAAGAGTTCCTTCCTGTTTGTTTGTTTCACGCCTCTGATGCTGCAGTTTCCGTTGGTCTGATCCAGGCACTGCAGCTCCCAGCTGGAGCTCAGACTTTTCTCTGAAGGTTTCACATTTTGTCCACAGAAGTCCTGCATGGTTTGTCAGCTACTTGTCAGCTTGTTTCTTTCCTCTTCTTTTCCCTGTCTGCTTCAAATAATTATTCCTCTAAATTAATTATGTTTTCTCTAATTAAATTGTATTCCTCATTTTCACTGCATTCATTAGAGCTTAATGACAGCCTATCAAATTAATTCCCTTTGGCTCATCCTTAGGATGTTGTGAAGCAAAGAAGATTTACCCCTGAAGTCCAGATAGTTACTGAAAGTGTCTTTGCCAC